TTAAATATTAATGTAAATGCCAGGCAATTCATCTGTTTATCAGCAAAGATGAACAGAAGGATGGACAATGCTTTCCAACCTTCCTGATCTCTTTGAGTGCTAACGCACCATATACAGTAACAGTGTCATGTAACCATGTCTGGCCACCTTTGTGTTTCTGGAACTCCCAAAGAGTTAAAATGTTCAAAATAGCAGCTGCTGTCTAGTCTACACTAGAGTTACTTAATAGTGGGCCAGTCTTGGTGGGCCCAGGCAAACACAGATCCTACATTTTGCTCAAGAATAAAAATCAATTATGAGTAAAAATTGCCTTGAAGAGAAAAACTTTGTGTTCTGTATGGCTGTCTTCATATTTGAAAGGGTGTTGGCTAAAATCTCTGCTATCCACCAGATGTGGTGAGTGTCAGCATTATTTAGCGTACTTTGGTGTGTCCACCTTTTTCCTATCACTTTTCATGTGTGACTTTAGACAATAATCAAGGACCTCATTAATCAAAGTGTAATTAAAGAGGACTTTCTGTATTGGCCAACAGCATTCTGGCTCAAAAGTTTCTTCTCCAACCATCATTTTTAATATCATGTTTAAATCTAACTGGTTGCTGTATTGCAACTATGACAATTTTTATGAAAAATTATGATGCACAGGGCCCTTATGTGCTTACACACTTCATGGTCCTCATCCAATTTTTTTATGTTTTTAAGTATTTTTTACCCTATCAGTATTTCTCATTAACTGGCAGTTACCTCCAAATCAGGAAAGTCAATAATGATGTTTATGTAGAAAGTTGTGCATCTGTTCTGAGTCCAATAAGATCACTGATGTACACGTGAACGATCACAAATACATGTAGGAAATGTTCAAAAACTCTGGTGAGCATTAAGCTCGTACATCATCATGCAAACACGGATTGAACATCCCTTTAGTTTTAGTCAATATTTCACCTTTTTGTGAACCCATTCCTTCCCAGGTGATGTTTCTTTATCTGTTCATAGAGAGCATGATCAAAGAGCAAGAGCACTCGAGCTCTCCATCAGTGTCTTACACAGGTGGAATTTATCACTTCTTCTAGTCAATCAGGAAACCTCTGGCAGGCCTTCTTCCAGCGGCAGGCTGTACACCATTTATCCCGATTCTCCATTCCGTAAACTTTACGACATTTCTTGCCTTCACCACGAGGTTTTCTGAAAAGAAAAAGGAGGGGGTGTTTTTTTTTTTATTTCAGAACAGCTGAATCTCAGTCATAACTCATATAAATGTAAGTCAGGCAGAGATACAAAAGAAATAAAACATGAATATTGCAGCTGGCGTGTCTGAATGTGTCTGAGCTCTTTTTTTTTTAAATAAGATATCTTCTTCATTTGATGGAAGTTATAAACAGTTTGATTTTATCCTAAATCTTTTTTTTTTTTTACCTTACATATCCAAATGATCTCCTCTTTGCTGCTGCAACTGTTAATGTAAACTAAACTCACAAAAGTGCAGTTCTTTAACCTATAAGAAACAGCTATATATAAAAGTTGTCTAAGAAGCTCCCTGAAAAAAAACTACCCCTTGTCTTCCATTCTTTCTGAAACATAGCTGTTCACTTTTGTATTTTGAGCCATACAGCTGTATATCTGCGGTATGAAATAACTTCTAGTTTCACAAGATTTGGAGTTAGATTCGGTGATGTCACTATTGTCCTGCTCAAGGTTTTCCGTGCTGGAGAGAAAACTATACATGGAGACCTGCAAGTGCATTCATCTTCTTGTTTCTGTCTCATTCATTTTGTGAATCTATGCTTTTTCTGCATCTCTGCAGTTACTTCCTAGACATTCCCCCACCAATCATCCAATTATCAGGGGGCAACTAGGACATGAGGGAGACCTGCACCTACCAAAAGCATGTAGTGTATTTTGTGTCTTTTTTGATTCTTCAAGCTGGCAGCCTCACACTTACAATAGTTTAACATACCTTGTTACTACAGCAGCTCTGGTAGAGGAAGATAACACCGTCTGAACTGGTTGTGTATGTTCCTCAAGTTTTGCACTGCACGGGAAGACGGATCTGAAAATATAAACAAGAATATTACATATATTGCAGGAAAGAATTAATTTATATGTTCATGCTAATTGTCCAGCAGCATGCACATATTTGAAGATTTTGCAGGAAATTTTAGGCTTGGATTGAAAATTCTGATCTTTTTTTTAGGTAAGTTATTCTGGGAGTTTATGTGGACTGGTGATGAGCTCCAGTGAAATGTTCAACATTAAACAACCCTGTTTTAATTAACCACTTCAGCTCCCAGAAGGTTTACCCCGAGTGTAGCCAGGGCATTTTTTGCTTTTCACTGTACCAACTGGTAATTGTGCGATCATTCAACTGTACCCAAACAAAATTTATATTTATATTATATTTCTTTTGGGGTAATCACCACTGGGTTTTTATTTTTTGTGGATGAATGAATAAAGAGAACATTTTGAAAAAAAACATTTTCTACTTTATGTTATAGAAAACATCCAACAAAAAAAAAATCTTTACGAAATTAGGCTAAAATGTATTCTGCTACATGTCTTTGATAAAAAAAAAAATCCCAATAAGTGTATATTAATTAGTTAAACTGTGGTTTATACACTGAAATTTACACAGCTTTTACTTTGTGACTGCCTATCACAATTCTTGAGGTTCTAAAAATGCCAGGGCAGTACAAACACCCCCCAAATGACCCCTTTTTGGAAAGTAGGCACCCCAAGGAATTTGCTGAAATGCATGTTGAGCCCATGGAAGAATTTATTTTTTGTCATGAGTTTTTAAATATTGAAAAAAAATTCTTTTTTTTTTACACAAAGTTGTCACTTGAATGATTTATTGCTCACACATGCCATTGGTATTTGTGGAAATACATCTCAAAATACATTCTGCTACTTCTCCTGAGTATGGGGATACCACATGTGTGAGACTTTTTGTGAGCCTAGCCACGTACAGGGCTCAAAATCAATGACCATCTTCAGGCTTTCAAAGGGTGTCATTTCTTAATTTCCTTTCCTCACTACCATTCTCAGGTTCAGAGGCCCTGAAGTGCCAGTATAGCACAACCCTCCCCCCCAAATGACCCCCCTTTGGAAAGTATATATCCCAAGCTATTTGCTGAGAGGTATGTTGAGTCTATGGAAGATTTTATTTTTTTGCCACAAGTTCTTGAAAAATGCCCCCCCCCCCCCCCCCAATTTTTTTTTTTTACATAAAGTTGTCACTTAACCTCCCTGTATTCCCGAGTATAGCTTGGGGTAAAGTTTCAGCACCACAAGCGGTAACCCTGAGCTACACTCGGGAATACCTTGCAGCGTTGCTCCGGGATCCCTTCTGCACTTACCTTGTCCTGCGCTCCCGCGATGTGTCCCCTGCAACGTCCCCTGCCATCTCCTCCGGCTGATGCCAGCATTTGTCTTTCGGGTTCTTTAACCTGCGACGTCAGGACGTAACGTAACCGGCGGGAAATTTAAAAATGTCAAAAATGTCCATAGGCTGTCCAAAAAGTGTGCCCTGCGCCCTGCCTGCATTTGAAAAAAACTGTCTGGAAACTCAAACAAACAAGAAATGTCCATGGCGTCCAAAAAGCGGTTTAGATCAGCTAGAGAACAGCGATAGTAAATCAGAACCACTTACAGAATTGAGTGATAATGATTCGTGGGGGAAATTCGTCATCAGAAACTGAAAACGACTTTGCGACTGAGCTCAGCAATGTGCGAACTTGGCGCTCTATTTCACATTTCAGTGTTTTTGGTTTGATTATATTATTGAATTAAATTTTTTATTATTTTTATATTATTTTTATGATTATTTATTAAATTATAATTTATGATTTTGTGTTTCAAATTTTATCATACCCGGGATGTTTACTAGACTCTTGTTTGGACAGATTTCAGTGAGTTTTTCCTAAAAATTACAGCCTACAATAAAAAAAATACATATTTCCATGCAAAAAAATGGTACCGCTTTCAGCACCAAAAATCTGAAATAATCATACCGCCAGGGAGGTTAATTAACCACTTCAGCTCCGGAAGGTTTTACCCCCCCTTCCTGACCAGGGCATTTTTTGCTATTGGGCACTGCCCTATTTCAACTGGTAATTGTGCGATCATTCAATGCTGTACCCAAACAAAATTTATATTTATATTATATTTCTTTTGGTGGTATTTGATCACCACTGGGTTTTTATTTTTTGTGATATGAATGAATAAAGAGAACATTTTGAAAAAAAACATTTTCTACTTTATGTTATAGAAAACATCCAACAAAAAAAAATCTTTACGAAATTAGGCTAAAATGTATTCTGCTACATGTCTTTGATAAAAAAAATCCCAATAAGTGTATATTAATTAGTTAAACTGTGGTTTATACACTGAAATTTACACAGCTTTTACTTTGTGACTGCCTATCACAATTCTTGAGGTTCTAAAATGCCAGGGCAGTACAAACACCCCCCAAATGACCCCTTTTTGGAAAGTAGGCACCCCAAGGAATTTGCTGAAATGCATGTTGAGCCCATGGAAGAATTTATTTTTTGTCATGAGTTTTTAAATATTGAAAAAAAATTCTTTTTTTTTTACACAAAGTTGTCACTTGAATGATTTATTGCTCACACATGCCATTGGTATATGTGGAAATACATCTCAAAATACATTCTGCTACTTCTCCTGAGTATGGGGATACCACATGTGTGAGACTTTTTGTGAGCCTAGCCACGTACAGGGCTCAAAATCAATGACCATCTTCAGGCTTTCAAAGGGTGTCATTTCTTAATTTCCTTTCCTCACTACCATTCTCAGTTTCAGAGGCCCTGAAGTGCCAGTATAGCACAACCCTCCCCCCCAAATGACCCCCCTTTGGAAAGTAGATATCCCAAGCTATTTGCTGAGAGGTATGTTGAGTCTATGGAAGATTTTATTTTTTTGCCACAAGTTCTTGAAAAATGCCCCCCCCCCCCCCCAATTTTTTTTTTTTACATAAAGTTGTCACTTAACCTCCCTGGAGGTATTCTCGAGTATAGCTTGGGGTAAAGTTTCAGCACCACAAGCGGTAACCCTGAGCTACACTCGGGAATACCTTGCAGCGTTGCACCACAAGCGGTAACCCTGAGCTACACTCGGGATACCTTGCAGCGTTGCACCACAAGCGGTAACCCTGAGCTACACTCGGGAATACCTTGCAGCGTTGCGCCACAAGCGGTAACCCTGAGCTACACTCGGGAATACCTTGCAGCGTTGCTCCAGGATCCCTTCTGCACTTACCTTGTCCTGCGCTCCCGCGATGTGTCCCCTGCAGCATCCGCTGCCATCTCCTCCGGCTGATGCCAGCATCTGTCTTTCGGGTTCTTTAACCTGCGACGTCAGGACGTACGGGGGACGTAACCGGCGGGAAATTTAAAAATGTCAAAAAGTGACATTCACTAAAATCACATAGTAAAACATTACTGTATCAAACCATTTCACATACATTTTGTCCCTAGCGCTTTGTCCTGTTCCCTGCCTGCATTTTTACTGTTCTTTCTGCCTGGAAACTGAGAAATGTCCATGGCGTCCAAAAAGCGTCCCTTTAGGTCAAAAGCAGTTTTAGACCAGCTAGAGAACAGTGATAGTAAATTAGAACCACTTGCAGAATTGAGTGATAATGATTCGTGCGGAAATTCGTCATCAGATGCTGAAAATGATTTTGCAAATTTCAGTGTTTTTGGTTTGATTATATTATTGAATTACATTTATTATTATTATATTATAATTTTTTATGATTACTTATTAAATTATAATTTATGATTTCGTGTTTCAAATTTTATCATACCCGGAATGTTTACTAGACTCTTGTTAGGACATATTTCAGTGAGTTATTCCTAAAAATTACAGGCCTACAATAAAAAAACAACATATTTCAATGCAAAAAAATGTACCGCTTTGAGCACAGAGATACTGACATAATCAGACCGCTAGGGAGGTTAAATTATATATTGCTCACATATGCCATGGGTATATGTGGAATTACACCCCAAAACACATTCTGCTACTTGAGTATAAGGATACCACATGTGAGAGACTTTTTGGCAACCTACCCACATACAGGCCCCCAAAATCCAATGACTGGTTTTAGGCTTTCAAAGGGCATATTTCCTCATGACACTTCATCACTATCTATCAGAGTTATGGAGGCCCTGAAATCCCAGGACAGTCCAAGCACACCCCCAAATGACCACATTTTGGAAAGCAGACACCTAAAGGAATTTATTAGGCATGGTGAGTATTTTGCAGATATAACTTTTTGTCAAAAGGTTTTGAAAAATAAAAAAATAAAATAAAAAATAAATTTTCGTTTTCTTTCTTCATTTTCCAAAAACTTGCTGTAACGAATGAGATCTGCAAAATACTCACTATGCTTCTCAGCATATAGCTTGGGGTGTCTACTTTCCAAAAAGGGGTCATTTTGGGGGGGGGTTGTGCTATACTGGCATTTGTTTGAGCTGTCCAGGCATTTTATGCCAACATTAGAAGCTTCCGCCACATATTACCCACCCACATTAACCACTTGAAGACCAGGCCTTTTCTGGCACTTTTTATTTACATAATTTACATTAAAAAAAGTTTTTTTTTTGCTAGAAAATCACTTTGAGCCCCCAAACATTGGCAGTGGGTGGTGATGCCGGTGCCAGTGCAGGCAGAGCGACATACGGGTATGTCGCCCTGCCTGTACATGCTGCCCACCCACAGTACTTGGTGGCAAGTGGTTAAACCACAGTGGGGTTGATTTACTAAGGAATAGATCATGTTCATTGTGAATAAAATGTGAATAAAAAAGCTGAAGTTTAAAGCAGAACTATAGGCAAATTTTTTTTAAAATAGAGTAAGGGAGGATTATAAGCCCTGTCAAATGTTTTTTTGCCATCTGTGTCAGAGTTGCAGAGTTTTCCCTTCACTTCCTGTCCCATAACCAAACAGGAAGTAAGAGGAAATTCTTCCAAATTAAGAGAATTTCCTGGGGAAGCCCCTGATCACCAGAACTAGTGTCCCCATTGGAAGATTTCCCCTCTATTACTTTTCTGGGGACAGCCCAAATTTTGGGATTTTCTTTTACTTTCAATGATAATAATAAACAGCACAAACAGAGGTTGTGAATCTCTAACGACAGACAATAAAAACTGACAGTTGTTCTAATCCTCCTCTACTCTGTCCAAAACTAAAAAAAAAAAGTTTTGCATTTAGTTATACTTTAACTTTCAATATGCAATCATGTGCTAGCAAAAATCCTATCTTTTTTATTTCATTGTGATGACTAGGTATTCAATTTGAACACAGAATCACTCTATTTACCAATATTCACTTTGCAAAGTTAACATACACTTTCCAAAGTGAACAGTCTTTATTCCTGTGGTAAATCATATTTTTTATAATAGGTAGATTTTATTAATTTTATTTTAATTGGGCCCCACAACAGTTGCCAGTCAGCAGTGTAGATGGATACACTATATTTCCAAATGTATTGGGCCCCCCCTCCAAATCATTGGATTCAGGTGTTCCAATCACCTCTATTAGCACAGGTGTATAAAATCAAGCACCTAGGCATGCAGATTGCTTCTACAAACATTTGTGAAAGAATGGGTCACTCTCAGGAGCTCAGTGAATTCAAGCGTGGTACAGTGATAGGTTCCACCTGTGTAATAAGTCCATCTATGAAATTTCCTTGCTACTAAATATTCCACGGTCAACTGTTAGTGGTATTATAACAAAGTGGAAGCAACTGGGAACAACAGCAACTCAGCCACCAAGTGGTAGGCCACGTAAAATGACAGAGCGGGTTCATTGCAGCAGTGTGTAGAGAGCTTCATGGAATGGGTTTCCATGGCTGAGCAGCTGCATCCAAGCCTTTACATGGTGTAAAGCACGCCACCATTGGACTCTAGAGAAGTGGAGACGTATTCTCTGGAGTGACGAATCATAAAAATGCTCTAACGCTGAAAAACGCAGCAAAACACGGCAAGCTGTTTTTTTAAATTTTTTTAGTAAAAAAAACGCTAGCAAACGCAAACAAATTGCGGCTAAACTCTAATGCAAAAATGCTAAAAAAACGCTGAAAAACTCATGTTTTTAACATGACGTTACACAGCTAACGTTACCAACGTTATTAAAACGCTCAGTGTGCATGGAGCCTTAGAGTAGTTAGTTTTTAATAGGAAAGCGGAAGGATTAGCAGGAACACCAGGAATTTTGCACAAAGGAAGCAATACAAAGAGAACAGGATACTTTATCACACAAGTACATGGTACAGCACGTACATACCAGGAATATGAAATGTTGGGTTTGCAAGCACTTTAAAAACACTTCTGGAGTGGACTGAACTCACTGGAAAGCACTACCGTTGAGCTAATTACCCCCAAATTATCACAGCAGTTATATAAATATCTTTCAGGATTATAAATAAGTGCACAGAGAAATTTAAAATAACCTAAAAGTGATAAAAACTTTAATTAATCCCTTATCTACAGGGTGAATTTCAACAAACAAAACTGTTCTGCCAGTAAATTCCTAAAAAGAAATTCTAATGCTTTGGGGTCAACGTTATTTTTTTATTTTTTACATTTAAACATTTTGAAAATGTTGTATATCTGTTTTTTGTATAGTTAAAATATTTGTTTTACAAATAACCATTTTATATATATCAAAAAATTCCCTTCGCTTAGCCCAACCAAAGCTTATAAGATGTGAACTGCTGCAACTAATAAATCTGAATACTCAATTTTTTTATCAATCTCAATAAAAAGTGTGCTGTCCCTTTAAATATATAAAATACAAAACAATCAATGCTATGTGTCCCTATAAAAAGAGAAATTGTGGCCGGATGCTAGCATATCGCTGTACACTGCCTGATTTATTCACCTGATTGTAAGTGCAATATATTCAATAAATAGTTGGTTTTTAAATTATACTGCACTATGAAGTTTCTCCTTTGTTTAATCCTTTCATACCATTATGATGAGTGGCACTGGAAATGAGAGTGGAATCCCGGTGGGACTGTAAACCTTTTCAGTGTATGCAGCAATTCCTTCGGTGGTTTGTCGGAGAGAGTGCCAGTCTTGGGTCATGACGCATATGCTTATTTGATCTCTGTAGCTTGAGATCATCTTTTTTTGGTAAGAGACTTGCTTGTTTTTTTTGAGGAGCACCATTTGTGCGAACGGAAGCACAAAGTATAAAGTTTTACAGCACAGAGCATTTTCTTTCCACGACTGATTTGGGAACTTCATTAATTTACTTATATTTTGTATATGAATTCTTTATATATTGTTTATTTATGTATTGATTTACATGTTTATGTTTATATTGGCGTTATATATTGGTTGTGGGCACTTTTTATAGGGACACATAACATTGATTGTTTTGTATTTTATATATTTAAAGGGACAGCACACTATTTATTGAGATTGACAAACCTTTAATATAACCTTTACTATGACAAAGGATTCCAAGAGCTAAGGAGAGAGCATCAGAGCTGTTTGGTTAAATGCACTGCTTGTCTTACTAAGGCAGAAACTTAAACTGAGCATCTGCGAGACACTGACGATCATTTAGCTATGCAAAGAACAGCCTTTGATTAAGAAATCAGGCCAAAAGAATTAACCTGTTCTGGACCTCAAGTGAAGGTGATATGCCCTAAAACACTTGAACATACTGTAGTTCCTTGAGCATATCTCTCCTCCTGCTTATTTGACAGCTAGGACCTGCTCAGCATCACATCAGCAGCTGTAGCTACTGTTCTTGTGTAAAATGAGAACTGCAGATAGTATCTGCTGGTGTCATTGAGCAATACAATGTACAATAGTGGACAAGATTCACAGTGACTGGGATCACCAGCAAAAGCACTGGGAAGTAAAAGAAGCACAGAATATCGCATAATAGCTGCTTAGACGAAGTGGAAAAGGAGGCACAACAGCTAGTATCCAGTATGAGGTCTAACCAACCATCTTTGGAGTGCAAGTCTGCTGTTACCCCTTGCAACAGGAATCCTGTGTTACCTGCAGGGGGGTGCCAGTGGGTCCGGAAAGTCTGCAGTGTCACTCTGTGATATTATACCATGGATAATAGACAGTGCTCTCAGGTGAAGGCTTTGACACCTGCCCTGGGATCTGCTAAGACTTGTCATTTATGGGACTAATCCCAATGAAATGGTAGTATGTCCAGCTGAGAGATCCATATTACATATGGACCTGGTGTGACACAGATTAAAACCCAGTCTGCGGCAAAGGCAGGGACTGAAAAGGACATAATAACTCTGTTTTTGCCAAAGATAATCCAGCAGAGTGCTGGGAGAGCTATACTAGGGGTGACCAAGGCAGTCTGTGTGCCATGTTCCCTAGTGACAGTAACAGGTGCTGCAGAGTTGCGCAGGGAAACCTCCCCGGAGCCAGTAATGGTACCAATGATTTCTCAAGTCAACTGTGGAGCTGCCCAAATGGACA